TTCCTGCTCACCAAAACCAATAAAACCAGCATTGAAAGGGGTGCCCAGCACCCCCCTCTCGGGCACAATAGGTGCTCGTCTAGCTACGCCCAACGGTGCCTCCACTCCAACACCGAAGCCACTCTCTCCTAAGCTCCCTTGAATGATGGTTTCTCCTTCTTTGATATCAATGGAAGCTTGAATCTGTTCTTCTACAGTCGACATTGATGACTCAGTACACAAACTCAAGAATATCAAGCCTTGGGTCTACAAAGATCACAAGAAAATCTCACCAACCTGTTCTCAAGGATTCCAAGAAAAAGCTCTCCTCCTCCCTCAAGATTGTTTGAAGTGGGTAGAATAAAGGGGGGGGGGGGCTCCTATTTATAGCTTAGGTTTTGCAAAGAGGGAAAAACTCAAATTAAAAACCAAGGGCTCTCTTAAAAATTCAAGTACAAATGAAAAAGATTTGAGGTGTTCAGCAAGGCAAACTACATCAAAAATGGAGATAGAGCATTGGTGTCTGATTCAGAAAGCCGTGTTAAGGTCCGGGGGGCGCTGCCCCTGAGGCCCCGCCACCTGACCGGGCAGGTGGAACCTCGCAAACCTGTCATAGCGCAACATGGACATAGCGGGTGAGGAGTATTCTTGGGTCAAAATTCAAATTCAGTTGAATACCCACTTCTCCAAGTTTCATTGGACATGGGGCATTGGGAGGACAAATGATGGGTCAAGCCAAAATAACCCAATCTATGAAAAAAAGCCCAAGGTTGCAGAAGACCAAGCAAGCCCTATGAAGTCCAAGACGGTCAAGCCCATCAGGGAGCTACGGGAATATCCAGGAGCTATACCCTTGCCCGTCGAGGAAGAGGAGAGGTCGCTAGGGAGAGGAGAGGTCGCCAAGAAGAGGAGAGATCACCAGCTATTAAGTTGTCTCCAATCCGTTATAACCATCAAGCTACTCAATTACTATGCAGGCTTCTATAAATTGTAAGTTCCCCCAACACTTGGGGGGCATCTCATAAAAATCAAGCTCATCTCCTCTCCCTCTTGTAATTCTTGCTCTCCCAACATACTAGAGTCAATAAAATTTTCGGTGAACCTAGCAATTGAAAGTAGACGTAGATCTCATTGGCCGAACCACTATAAATCTTGTTTTTTCTCTCCCTCTACTTACTACATTTTATATTGTTTAATTGATAGGTGGTGTGCAAATCGATTTAGTGCATCATCAACAAGGTTTTCAAAGAAGAACAGTTTGCGTACTATTGTTCTAAAATTTTTGTTGTCTAGGGTTTACATAATTCATGATTTTTGGTTTATCTTGGACATGCATGGAGAAACTCTAAGAATGTTTTATGAGGTTTGGTTGTAGAGTTTCAATCTATTTTTTGGGTCAGCTTGTTCAATTAGTGGCTGAAATTTTTATGTTTCTGGAAATTAGAATGGTTATGCATTTAAATCAGTTTTTTTTTTAAGACTTTGGCCTACTTTAAATGATAGTTGATAGGATTTTAAATATTGAATAACTTTTTAATTCATTTTAAGATGTTATCAAAGGCAAATAATAATTGTCTTTAGGTATGCATTGTGACTTTAGTCAAATGATTCGTGAGTTAGAAGCGGATTCCGGATAAATCCGCACTCCCATTTTACTTAATTCGCAAATTCAAAATCTAACCCATTGAAAACTTTAATTGGCCCAATAGACACTAGGGTAAAGTCCATCACTTAACAAGAACTAAAAGCCCCATTTTGTTAAAATATAAAAGCCAGCCCATTGCTTTTATAGGCAATGAGTTGCCTAAAGCTGCTGATATGGGACAAACTCTCCAGGTATAAATATGCCTACCATGTGCAGTAACTTTTCCTAGCCTCCCGCTGTTGGATGGCCTCTAGCCTTCTCATTTCATTTTTGTGTTCCTGCTCTAATATTTTTGTGGTGTCATTATAATTTCAGAAACAAGAAGTGGTGCCATTATAATTTATTCAATATTTTTTAACACAAACCAATCTAGTGTAAACATATTATGTGGATCAACTTGTTATCCATTACTATTCACTAACTACTCCACGGGCCTATTTTTTTTTAAAAGAAATAATTTTTCATTGAAAAGTTATAAAAATTAATTTTTTTTTTATAAAATATATTTTTGAAACATAAGACTTGAGTACTTATAAATTGAATTTGAATTTATTGGATTAAGCTCTAGGTAAACCGAGATCGGTTTTGTGGTTTTTTCGATAAGGATTTATGCATCAATAAATTACTTGTATTGTGGATGATTTTCATTATTTTAATTTTCATATACACTTGCAATAGTGCACACATTCACACACATGATGTGTGCGATGAAATAATTGTTTAACTTCTCCATTTGACATATTTATTAATTGGGTTTTCTAGAGGTTGGCTTTGTTAAAGGCATCGCAGGAGTGATCGATTGAATTGTTGGTTTGTTGATTGCATACATATTTCATCCATTCATTCTTCGGAGGTTAATGGGTCTAGTGAATTTTAATTAGTCTTTTAACAAGTTTAAGTGATAAGTGGGTGAACCAGTTAAATTCATTAGGTAAATGAGTCGACTCCTACAACTTCTCATTTCGACAAACTCAACTTATATACCATACAAAATTAATAAAGCAATCATTGATGAATTGAATATAGATTCAATACATTTTTATTCCAATACAATTTGTATAACTGGAAAGGCACATTAAAATGGACGTGACTATAAAGGGTGTGTTGCTTTAGGGGATTAGTATTCATGTGATTGATTAAATATATTTTGTACATTTTTAATATCGAGAGAAGTTAATACCGATAATAAAAATAAATGCAATTTTATTTCATATATTTGAATTTTTTTTTATTGTAGGACCCACAAAAAACATCTATTCTATCACATCGCATATAACAAATAGGCATGTTTACCGTCCATTCCATTCCTTGAGAAGGGGTAGTATAGTAATTACGTTGCCTTATGCTGTCGGTGTCCCTTCTCTCGCTTTTTAATACCATCTTTCAATTGGTATTAAATGTACTCATGTAGATGGATTTAGTGTAACTGTTCATATCAGTAGTAAGATCCAAATATTAATACTTTGTTAAAAATAAGTAACAAATAAAATATATCTAAGACCCATATACTAACAAACACTATCTCAACTCATTATATCTCCCAAACAAAGACAACCTATGGGTATGCTTTGACAAATATAAGGCCGATACCTATGGGTAATGGGTAAATACCACGGCACGGTGGACATAGACTTTGGGGAGGGTAAAACATGTAAGGCTGGCTTGTACCCGATTTTGTCGTGGACCGGAGAAAAGTCTTACGGTGAGCCGTAGTCAACATTCAAGCTGATATGGCTTTTGCCACGTAGGCACAGACTATTCAAACATGCATTTTTTTTTTGTGAGAAATGCTATTGGTACCTAATTCACTATGACTTTTAGATTAACTGTAGGGCCATCAAACATTAGAATTTAATGTTGATCTAATAGTTGTGTTAAAGTCACATCATTATATCAATAAATTAAGTCAAATTTTTAGGTCAAAATAGTATTACTCTTTTTTCATTAGTAAATGTTTACGTCTTTAATTTATTAATAATAACTCTAGAATAATGTTACACTAGTATAACAAAAAAGATGAAAATTTAAGACTAGATAATGTGGCAGAAACATATTCCATGCAAAAAGACACTATTAATCGTATTGTCATCAAAGGGACTTTGGATAAAAAAATATTATAATAATTATGTGATTTATACTATCGGTGAGAATAATACTTGAAGGTGTGTTTTGCGTAACTGAGCAGAGATGAACTATCTAGAAATTTGGGGATCATTGGAATGTTCAGTCAGAAGTGAACTGCTTGATTCTTGGTGGTTGAATTATCGATTCAATCAGATAACAAAGTTGAATAGATAGAAAATTTATAGTGATTCACCAATTCGAGAGTTTGATTAGTCAACTCTAATAGAATCTCTAGTTCCGAAGAATTTTCTATTAATTGAGGAGAAGGAAATTACATAGAGTAAATAAATAGATGATTGTTATATTCTTTAAATTCTAGAGATTTGATCCCTATTTATGATGTATTGTTGCCTTGCGTGATTGTCTTGCATGATTTCTTCGATCCTTTCCGTAATCGATGTCATCTTAGCGTAATCAATGTGATTCCTCTTGAGGCAATTGCAACCCATGTGTCAGAATATTTGACTACTACTTGTTACATTCCCTAAATGTGATGTGATCTTTTGAAGTGTGTCAGTTGTTGTTGTCATCGCATGCACGAGGGTCTTGTTACTAAAAATTTCCGACCTGTGCACCCTAAGTTAATGATCATGAACTATGGGTTCCGAACTTAGATGTCCGAACTTAACCTTAGTTAATTTTTGGTATCATCAATACCGATTTATTATACCACTTATTTTAGATGGTATTTAATATATCTATGTATACGAGTACATTATTATTGTAGCAACCGGGTCAGGATTGAGACCCAAAAAATAGTTTTTTTTTCGTTTTTTTGGGGGAGAGAAAAGGGAAAAGGGAAAGGAGACTTAAACTCTTGACCTGAAGAAGATAAAATCTTTACAAGACAAAAAGTACAAGTACTCAAGTTAAATTGCACAACAAATAAGATATAAGTGAGTTTTATATACTAATTTATTGTATCCTACTTTCTAATACCCTAGTTATCCGATAAATAAACACACCCTAACTCTGTTAATTTTCAGTTTTACAACAATTTATGAGGCCTAAAAGAGAATTTCTTATGAAATTAATAAGTAGAATGAGCACACATAAGTCGGGAGGTCAAAGTCGAACTTAGTGCCCTCCATCTTATGGATGTGTTGAGCTGGCAGCAACTCGCCATCCTCGACTTTGTTAAGCCTTTTGACCACGCGTAATTGAGGCCTAAAGCCACCCATCACTCCAGAAATAGCTATATAAAGGGCGATGGCTTAGAAGTTAGAACCAGCTTTCAACGCCATCAATCTCCATGGCTGCTTCTCTCCTCCATTCCCTTCTCTTATTCTCTCTCCTCTGTATCTCATTCTCTGTGGCTGAACCCTCTTTCAGGCCTAAGGCCCTTGTTCTTCCTGTATCCAAAGATGCTTCAACTCTCCAATACATCACCCAAATCAACCAAAGGACCCCTCTTGTCCCGGTAAGTGTGACCCTTGATCTTGGTGGCCAGGACTTATGGGTGGATTGCGATCAAGGCTATGTTTCTTCAACCTATCGTCCCGCCCGGTGTCGCTCAGCTCAATGCTCACTTGCTAAGTCTACTTCCTGTTCAGAGTGTTTCTCTACCCCTAGGCCAGGATGCAATAACAACACATGTGGTCTCTTCCCAGGCAACACCGTGACTCGCATCGCCACCAGCGGTGATCTTGGTTCCGACGTTGTATCCATCAAATCCACCGACGGGAAAAATCCCGGCAGGACTGTTTCTGAGTCCCAGTTTCTGTTTGTTTGTGGATCAACATTTCTGTTAGAAGGTCTTGCTAGTGGTGTCAAGGGCATGGCTGGCCTTGGGAGGACTCGAATCTCACTTCCTTCTCAATTCTCTGCTGCTTTTAGTTTTCCTAGAAAATTTGCCGTTTGTCTGAGTTCTTCAACAAGGTCTAATGGCGTCGTCTTCTTCGGTGATGGTCCTTATGTTTTTCTTCCCAATAAAGATGTCTCAAGGTCCCTTATCTACACCCCACTGATCATCAATCCAGTAAGTACTGCATCAGTTTACTCTTCAGGTGACCGTTCTGCTGAATACTTCATTGGAGTAAAATCCATCCAAATCAATGAAAAATTGGTGCCAATAAACACAACCCTTCTGGCTATAAACAGTGAAGGCTATGGAGGAACTAAGATCAGCACTGTGAACCCATACACAGTGTTGGAAACTTCAATCTACAATGCTGTGATTAATGCTTTTGTGAAAGAGCTCTCCAATGTTCCAAGGGTGGCTGCAGTGGCACCCTTTGGGGTATGCTTTGACGCCAAGAAAATCGGAAGCACCCGTGTTGGTCCGGCGGTGCCGCCTATTGATCTTGTTCTACAGAGCCAGAGTGTGTACTGGAGGCTCTTTGGAGCAAACTCAATGGTGCAAGTTAGTGAGACTGTGTTGTGTCTAGGGTTTGTGGATGGAGGGGTGAATCCGACGACCTCCATAGTAATTGGAGGGCATCAAATTGAGGATAATCTTCTGCAGTTTGATCTGGCTGCATCAAGACTAGGGTTCAGTTCTTCTCTCCTGTTCCAGCAAACAACTTGTGCCAACTTCAACTTCACTTCCATTGCTTAAGCTTTCATCATCAAGGGACCAAGCGGCCACTTATTTTGAGTTATTTTTTTCTGGGGACTAGTGGTTTGATTATATATTATTTGTTATGATTTTTAGTTGCTAAATAAATGGGTACGACTCATGACTGCTTGAAGTGGTCTCATCAATGTATTTTATTTTGCTATTAATAAAATGTGTGCTTTACTTTCTGGGGAAAAAATGTGGATATTTTATATAAAAATAAAATGTGGATAATGTATTTTATTTTTATATGGTCCATTTGCTTAGATTAGATATTGCTAAAAAATGCTCTAGACGGAAAGTTTGTAAATTTTTCCAAGAGTGTATGCCTTGTACTCTTTCTGTATAGAAGTTTTCTTGTATTTAGTGGTTTTTCTCTCAACTATAATTAACCACCATTTTTTTCCTGCTTCCATGAAATTGGATAGAAGGACTGAAGCCTATTGAAAGTAGGAATAACGATTTTCCCCTACTGTAGGTATCAGTCTAAATCATCTTTATGTTTCTTGGCTCCTGTTTCCCTCCTGCAGTCCTTCCCGAAAGGAGTTCTAGGCGTTGCCGGACTTGCATGGGCTCCACTCTCTCTTCCGTCCCTATTCAATCTTTTATCCGTCGGAATAAAAAAGAAATTTGCGATTTGTTTGTCTTCCACATCTTCGGCTCCGGGGGTGATTTTCTTCGGATATGGGCCATACTATCTCCTCCCACCCACGAATTTGGATGCAGCAAGCATTCTCTCTTACACTCCATTGCTAAAGAATCCCAAATCACCAGACTATTATATCAGCGTCAAAGCCATTTCTATCAACGGAAAGAACTCCCCAATTTCAACAATCACAATGGCACTGAACCCATTAGGCCACGGTGGCGTAAATCTGAGCTCTGTAGTCCCTTACACCACACACAGGAGTGATATTTACAAACCATTTCTCAAGAGCTTTTCACAGGAAACTAAGGGCATTCCTCGAGCCAAGACGGTGGAGTCATTTAGTCTCTGTCTTAGAACTAGTGCAATTGGATTCAGTCGCGTTGGTCTGCGAGTTCCAGAGATTGATTTGGAGTTGGGTAGTGGGAAAACCTGGACAATCTATGGAGCTAACTCCATGAAGCAAGTTGGGCCTGAAGTGGCGTGCTTGGCGTTTGTAGACGGTGGAGTGACGGCTGAACAAGCGGTGGTGATTGGATCATTTCAGATGGAGAATAATCTTCTAGTGTTTGATCTGGGTCAGTTAAGGTTAAGGTTCAGTTCTTCCTTGTTCTTTGTGAGAATCACTTGAGGTAACTTCAACTTTACAACATATGTTTGAAACTTGAGTTTCCCTATTGCGGACATAGAATCTGATCTGCTAAAATAGTCCCTTTACTTTTAATTATTTCAATTTAACCTTTTAATTATCAATTTTTTGTCCTTTAATACAAATGAACATAAGCCATGTGTTTGGCACGTGGTGTCTACGTCTTGTGTCGTCGTTTATTCTAATATCTGAAAAATATAGAATATTTAATTAACATAAAATTGATATTTGAGTAATTAAATTGAGACAATCAAAAGTTTAAAGATATTTTTCAAACAAGAGATAAAGTTTAAGAATTAATTATGATATTTATCCAATAAGATTGAATTGAAACACCGTTCGATAACAAAAACTTCAATCTCAAGGGATAACGCAATGAGACATGAATGAGTTATAAATCTAAATATCTTGTGTTTGAAACAACTCATTTTATGGCGAAATTATTAAGAATTTATCTCTCATAAATTCTTTAATTTTCTAATAGATGACCTGTTATTAATTAAACTAAAAAAAAAATTAATTAAAATATACGAAAGTTGGCTTAGAAAATTAATTGCAAGGTGGGAGGCTTGATACTGGACCTGGACCACCCCTAAGGGTTGCCCTAAAGGCGTTATTTAAGCCATACCATTCACTTATTGCCCTCGACACAATCTTTCTTCCCTCTCTCAATCTTTCAATGACTTCTTCTCTTCAATTATTTACTTTCTCTCTCCTCATCTTCTTCTCTCTCTGCCAATCCCAACCATCTCACAAACCCAAAGCATTGGTCCTCCCAGTCTCCAAAGACCCCTCTACCCTCCAATACTCAACCCAATTGAGCCTAGGTACACCTCTCAAACCAATAAACCTAGTCATTGATCTTGGTGGCCGACACTTATGGATGGATTGCTACACCAACTACAATTCCTCCACTTACCAACCAGGCCATTGCGGCTCAGCTGCTTGTTCAATTGCCAAGGCCAGCCTTTGTGACCTTTGCTTCGGGACACCACAGCCTGGCTGCACAAATTACACTTGTCTTCTTGACCCAGAAAACACCATAGCCGGAGTTGCAGGCTACCAAGAAGTAGCTACAGATGTCATTTCACTTCAAGCTCTAGACAAGACAATGTCTGACCATGGTTCATGGTCACAGTATCAATTATCGACTCCAGAAATAGAGATACACATTGGTCGAGGCGTCATAATCCCAAAATTTATTTTCTCGTGTACCGGGGATTGGCTTTTACGCGGCCTTGTTAATGGTACTAAGGGAATGGCAGGCCTTGGAAAGACTCAAATTGGGTTGCCAAGCCAACTTTCATCAATGTTCGGCGGAAGCTTGCCTCGAAAATTTGCCCTGTGTTTGCCATCCACTTTAAGGTGAGATTTTATGTTAAGTTATTTTTCAGTATCGTACTAAATATTATAAATTAATCTTGAAAAGTTACAACAAACTTTAGTTTTTTGGAATTGATCGTCCATTAAAAGATTGATTCATTATTTTTGAGTTGTAACTTGACGTCATAGAATCAGAATGTGGCTCGAGATGATTTGTAACTAACTCGTTTTCACTTGTCAATTTAGGTACACCACCAAAATTGGTGCCATAGGCCTACCCTCCACCTCAAAGGCTAACGGTGTTATAGTGTTTGGGGATGCTCCTTACCTCTTTTATCCAAGTTACAACAAATCAAAGGTCATTGACAGATCACAAAGTTTTTCTTACACTAATCTCTACATAAATCCTGTGAGCTTTGCAGGAGTTTACCAAGGAAGACCCTCTGCAGAATACTTCATTGCTGTTAAGTCTATTATGATTGACACAAAACCCATCTCTATAAATTCAACATTGTTGTCTATCAACAAGAAGGGTATTGGGGGGACAAAAATAAGTACAATAGACCCCTATACTGTTCTTGAGAGCTCAATTTACAAGGCTTTTACTGAAGCATTTGCTGAGGAGCTTAAAGCCATGAAGATTTCCAAAGTGGCTCCTGTGGCACCTTTCACAGAGTGTTTTAGCAGAAGAATGTTGGGTTTTACTATGGTTGGTGTGGATGTACCTGTAATAACATTTGTGTTTCGGAACCAGAATGTGTATTGGAAGGTATATGGGGCTAACTCAATGGTGGAGATAAGTCCTGAAGTGGTGTGCTTAGGTTTTGTAGATGGTGGTTTAGACACAAAAACATCAATTGTAATTGGAGCACATCAGTTGGAGGAGAGTGTTGTTGAGTTTGATTTGGCTTCTTCAAAGGTAGGCTTTAGTTCTTCACTTTTGGAGGAGGAGGCGGTGTGTGCTAACTTCATGTTCTGATAGGTCTCTTGTATTGAGTTTGATATTATTGTCGAATGCTCTCAATTTGGTATGCTCTGACTCAAGTAAACTCTTTATAAACCAATGTCACTTTGACATAATTTATTGAGTTAATTATTTATAATCGTTGGGTTGATAATAAGTTCTAATATATGTTGGGATTTGCAACCAATCCCGTGGTTGTGATAGATTAAATCAATAAATTAAATCTAAATAACATTAATATTCTTTATAATTGTAATAAATTGACCGGCCTCCCTCGAGTCTAACAGTTGTAGGATGTTTAGGTTTGAACCGACTACTCTTTCGAAATCAATGATAGGCTACGAAGCTTAGATACGAATACGAGATATGGATATGATACGTTACAGATACAGTAATATAACAAAATCTAAAAAAGAAGAATACGAGTACGGTCAAGATACGGCTATAATAAAATATATTTAATATTTTTATTAATTTCAATCAGCATAATACTTATATTTTTTGGTAGTTCTTTAATACAATAAGAAAAATTTATAATTCTTTTTAGTTTGAAGAAAATATATATTAGATCACTATGATATATTCACAAAGTGAAGTGATTAATTAAAGAAATCAAATCTAACATTTACCGAGTTTTAGAAGTGATTTTTGCTAAAACTATAATGTAATAAATTTATTTTATATTCTTTTAACATATAATTATAGATAATACTTAAAAAATATTCATGTGTCTTTGAAGTAGTATGAATTTTTGTAAATGTATTGTATGATATGTGAATTCAAAAGAAAATGTTAACAATTTAAATCAAAAATTATATATATATTACTTGAACATAAAAGTATCCGTAAAGTATGCTAATATTTAATTATTATCGAATACGCAAGAGGTATATCCGATACGTATCCTCGAGTATCCGTCAAGTATCATATCCTATCCGTGAAGTATGCTAATATTTAATTATTATCGAATACGTATGAGGTGTATCTCATATGTATCATCAACTATCCGACGAGTATCGTATCTAATAAAGTATCCGATATAAATACGTCAACCTCAATAAAATATTCATGCTTCGTAAATGGCAGGCCACCGAGTTTGAATTGGTCTAGAGCATGTTTCCAAATGAATAAGGGTGATTTGCCTTGAAGAAGATAATTTATTTTGTCTTTTTTTGTCCCGGTGTGAGAAAAGATTAAGTATAAAACCTCTGAATTACCAGAAAAGAGACCCACCCACTACACCACCTAAGTGTATTTGAACGAGTTTTAAATGGCACTCAATATCATAGAATTTTAGGGTCATCACCGGGTTGAGCCGCCCATCAACCGACACCTAGGCCTGGGCACAAGTCAGGTCTAGGCAGGCATTTGTCCAAGCCAACGCGGGTCGCAATTAATGTCCATGGCCTTTATACTAGTCGAGTCAACCCATATAACATATTGGGTTGTTAGGTTAACAGTGTGGGCCACGGGCCCAAGCCGACCCTGAGGAGAATTTGCATCTTCACGATTCCATGGTCGCGACAGCTATGTCTTTTAGAAGCTGAAAGCATAAACTTCTGAATACATGACTCAATCAGACGGTGTCTTTTTTTTTTTTTTGTACAAAGTCATGCACATATAACACACAATAGTCCACACACCAAAGTTATTCAAGCACACTAACAAGGAGAGAGACTCACATACCAATTTTTCTTAAAAGAGAAATTAGGGATATGCCACTTATACTCCAGTCTTTGTACTGAGCAAACGATGTGGGACGCACTTTGTTGTGTTTGGACAAAGGCATACACATAATACACAATAGTCTACACACCGAAGCTACTCAAGTACACTCACTCTTAAAAGATGGCGTTTTTATGAGGCCAAAAAAAAATCACTTTCAAAAAACAGTGCAAAACATTACCTTAATTATTCTTTGATTTATGAATAGAAAGTGACGCTAAAAGAATCCAAACCCAAGCTCTCACTTGTAGTGGAATTTTAGGTAAGTGATAAACAACCTTGACCCGAGTTCGAACACGTGACGGGTTGTTGGGCCCTATGATTATTTGACATCGTGTAATTAGGTACAACCCAAAAAAAGCATGATGGGAAAATTTATGTATATATGTTGTAAAGTGGACCCCTTTTTTAGTGAATTTTCAGTGGTTCTTTGTTTACTAAGCTGGAGATTTCATGCTAATCAATAAGGTCTATAAATTGCATGACAAACTGTGGACAGCAGCAGATAATAATACACTAAAAGAGCCTGTGGTTTTTTCTCATCAAACAAAGTGGTAACTACAAACACTTAAAGATAGTTTTACACATCATCCTCCATACACCCTGGGAAAACTGCAAAGAGATTATGTTAGTTAATGTCATCATCTGATGGGAGCTCTTTGTTTTGTTAATTGAGTGAGAATTGACAGATCACTAGTGATTCCTGCATCTTATTGTGTTACTAGGGTATTCCGTGTAAAACACATTTTTTAATTGTGATTAAAAAATTAAATATAAATAGATTGAGTTATTGTGATTAAAATATTAAAATTTAATTCGTAATATAAACCGTTGAATTTAAATGAGTTGAATTGTTGTTGTGTCTTGTATAAACAAGACTGTATGTTTTATTATATAGATGTATTCTGTAGAAAGTTGAATTTGAATCCTGGTATTTGATTTGTGTTGAGTTGTTATGCATGCGGTAAATAAACTAAATTGTTAGTGAACATTTTGAGATTAATTTGGATTAAAATTCTTTCAAGTTCACTCATTTATAAAAAGAACCGTTCCCAAATTCAATGACAAAGTTCTTTTGATAAATAAGTTGAACCAAACAACGACTTCTTTTGAGACCACATAAAAGATGCTAGTATTAAAAATTGAACAAAGAGAATCAATCAATGGTGGCATTGGATAAGAGCTAAGTGGATGTTTTTGAATGGTCCCTCTCACACACACATTAGATCCATGTATACACCAGTAGGCTAATTGGGGATGCGAAGATATCCATGTACTTCCCAATCACCATGGTCACTTTCATTTTGGAGGAGTGGAAAAAGGAAGAGGATATGTGGCTTCAATTTCCCTAGATTGAATAACATATTATTTGGGACAAGTCATAATCATGGAAAATAGTGATTGTGGTACAACCCTTTTAATCTTTGGTGGTACCTTTAAGTTCTTTTGTTTGGATTTTTTTTTTTTTCAATGGTCAAGAATATTTGGATCAACTTAGGCATACCTCAATTAATTTTCTCCCTAATTCGATCAAAGACAAGTCATTCACACTAGGACTAGAGAATTTGTGAAGGATAAATTCTTCATAACTTGACTTTAAGAAATTGTTAAGATTCGAATTCAGAATATCTGAATTTATAATTCGTCCTTATTATTACTTGAGGTATCTTTGCCTTTATTTGGATTTCACATATTAAAGGATAACTCTAGGCCCTATTTGTGGGGTTGGTTTATGAAAATCCACAATTCCAGTGCTAGTCATTTTTTCAAGTGGCAATTTTGGTTATACTTGTGCAAATATTTGTTGGGGTCGGGGATCCTAATGATGTGCATTACAAAATGTATTTTTCCTTTACAGCTCGTTTTGGTGCTATTTAGAGAATAGCACCCTATTTTCTATACTAGAGAAGATATGCCTTATTACAAGAGTATTACTTAAACATGATGATTTGAATTTGTGTATTGGTCTAGATTAGCTAACAAATTATTAAGTCAAACAATTAGATATATGTAACATAAATGTAATTACAATATACATAAATGAAAATGAACCGAATTGGCCCGAATATCAACCCTATTTAGGGTTGTTACATTCAGAGTGTTCTAGCTTGAATCATGTTCGTGACGAGTTAGAAACATCTTGTTCTACTTCTGCTCATTTAAATTGAATCAGACTCGTATATAAGATTAATTGTGTGAATGGTGCTCAATCTCGATTAATTTGGTAAACGAGTTCTAATTAAGATACAATTTGATTTAAATGGCAAATTAAAGAATTTGAATTATTTTTTATCTATATCGATCTCAAACAATTCCATTCTTTTTTTGTTCAATAGTCAAGGGTGTCTAGATTAACTTATGTATGTGCACTTTGACTAATCATATCTCTCGTCCAGTCAAAGACAAGTCATCCATATTTGGACTAAAATTTTTAGGAGGGATAAATCTCTTATAGCCTGACCCAAATAAAATGTCAAGATTCAAATTCAAAACGTTTAGACAGGGCCGACCCAACCTCATTGTTGATAAAGCTTGGTTTTTAGGCCCACAATTTGAGAAGCCCCACAAGTTGAGTTATATAATTAATCTATATCAAAATTTTAACTTTACACAAAATTTAAGTCCTATAAAAAGGCCTCAAAAAATTTAAGTTGAATCAAAATTTCTAATTTCAATAATTTGGGCTTATGATTCAACCTATAATATTATAAAATCAAAAGTTAAAAAAAAACTAAATGTATAAAAAATTTACTCAAAAGTCAAGTTATATTTACCGCACATTTACTCTCTTCTTGTAAAAAATAAAAGTAAAAGTTAAAACATTTCTATCAACAACACTGATTCTTCATCTATCACACACACGCATATAATAAATAAAAAATAAATTAATTTTTAGTAAAATTTTAATATTAAAAATAAAAGACCTCATTCAATATTATCACTTTAGGCCTCAAAATACTTTGGGCCGCCTTGTGTTTAGATTTATAACTTATTCCTATTACCACTTAAATTACTCTTTGAAATTATTTTTTAGATACCCTAAAAAAATGACTTCTATTGTTCAAAACACTAAGTTGTTTGTTAAGGAGCCCTAATAGGCAACATGAGAACCACATCATCTTAGCCTTCATCAACCATGTCATACTGCGAGTACAAAATCTCAAATTCTATACGTTTTACACTTTCTAACATCATCAATCTTGTATTTTATGGGACATTTCCTTAAACTCGTTTGAGCTACGATAAATGATCTCAGAGGTCAAGAAAATTGTCGACGTAAATCAAGAGACTCTCTAACAAAAAAATAAATAAAATAAGCACTATAGTCATTAAATTAATAAATGGAGTATTATAGGGGTAATTCAATAAATAAATGAAGGCAATATAGGGCCAAGATGACAGGCTGAGGCTCCCATACCATGGGCCTTGGACAATACAATGGGCGTCACCATCACCAACTTGCAAGTCTCTTATCTTTTTTCAACAATTTACATCTCATCTAGTCATCTTTTTAATATTTTATTATTTATTTCCTTTTCCTTGGACTTCGTTTCCACTTTTATCCACTTGGACGTGACAGCCTCCCCAGCATACATTCCATACCAGAAAAAAAAAAATACAAGTTATTAAAAAAAAAAAGAAAAAAAATTATAATGTATGACTAAGCCGCATCATATGGCATGCACATTCAAAGATTAACCGATCGAGTGCATGACTCCATAAACTCCATACTGTATGATTGCACCCTGTATAGGCTATAGCTTTCAGCTCTGGCGTTGGGCCCACCCCACTTATCCAAACATGGTGATCCTCGCCCATAAGTGGGTCCCATTCCACGTGCACCCTTTACTCCATTGGACATTTGGATTGAAAAAAATGTATCAGACACGGAAAATGAATTCTTACACTCCGATCCTTATGGTTTACTTAAATTCAATTTTAAGTTTTGAAAATTACATTTCACTCCACCCTTATTCAGTTCATAGTTCACCATATCTCCTCCGTTAATTCTATGGTTAATAGTACCAACAAACTATGCACATAATTTATTTTTCTAAAAGAAATCTATTTTTTTTATCTCAAAAGAAAAGAATAACAAAAGAGAATTTACTTTTTTACATCACTAGATTCTATATATGGTGGGATCTGGTTGCGGGTTTTAGTGGGAGACTAATGGATTTGATGAAAAATGAGGAAAGGAGTTGGTGATTTGAAGAAGGATGGCTAGTGGGTGTGGTTGGTGGTTTGAGAAAAGAGTAAAGTGTAAGTTAATTTGAGAGTGTAAAAGTGTTTTATTTATAAGTAAGTGATGGTTGTGGGGGTGATACCGAGGGTTCGATTGAGTCGATGGTGGGGGATTGATTAGGGTCGTGGTAATTATTCAATAGAAGAAGGCTGGCTAATCTAGATGGTTTGTTTGGAGAAAATAATCGAAATAAAAAAAAAAGAGAGAAAAAGGATATGGAAGAAGGATTGGAGTATGTTTGACAAGCGCTTGTTATAGGCTTAGACGAAGTTTAGTTATTTGGATATGGGAGCTATTTTGATAAACAAAGAAGAAATAAGTGAAAAATAGTGAACAAAGTATTCAGTTGATTACATTAGAAGAAAAAATCTAATAGAGAAACAAATCAAATTTTAGAAAATATAAGGGTATCTTTCATAATTTGAGTAAACCGTGAGGAATGTTGATTAATTTTCCACAACGTGCCAATAATACTCTCCCTCCTCTTTCCATAAATTTTCAGACCCACCATCCTTTTTCCTTTCTATTGGATTGTCCTGAGGCCTCACCGTCGTAGAGAGAGAGAGAGAGTGAGAGAGAATATACAGGCAACCATGTTGGGAGTTTTTAGCAGCTCAATAGTGTCGCCACCGGACGAGCTGGTGGCAGCAGGCTGCCGTACTCCGTCGCCGAAGATAACGGCTGCGAAGCTGGTCAACCGGTTCGTAGGGAACACCTCCTCGGCGGTATCTGTACAGATCGGCGATCACGTCCAAATGGCTTACAGTCACCACAACGAGTCTGCTTCACATCCCAGGTACATATGTATGATAATAAAATCGAAAAAATATTAAGATTATTCAGCGGAAGTGCTCAAATTCTCATAATATTATGATTATTCGGTTTGAATTTAGAGAGTTTCTCAGCTAAATTTTGAGAAATTTATTTTCGTTTTATACTTGCATGTCTCTTTTATATGCATATGAATATCCTCTCTCTCTCTCTGTCTGATGCATCCTGGTCTGATCATCGAGCTGGAACTCGAGTAGATTGACTCAATTATTAACTCTACCGGCCCATCCAACATGTATTTTCATTTCTTTCATGTTCTTTCCCTTTTCTTTCTTCTTTTCTTCGTATTGTTTGGTAAACACCTTGTGACCATTCAATTATCTGGATCTTGATCTTTCCATTTGTGTCCATTTCAATTTTCTGTTTTTTGTTTAATAATATAGGAGAATCTAAGTCTGATCCCGTAGAGACTAATGAAATGTAAGGATGATTAAAACCAAATTAAAATTAAAGAAATATAATTTAGAAAGTCCAAATCTAGTCATAGTAATGTATGTAATAAAACTAGTAAAAGGTCATGCAAATATGTTTATTTTAAATTTCATAATATAAATTATTTAGATTTCAAATTAAACTTGAAAACAAAAGATGGGTACCTTATGTTTGAAGAAAATATTGAATATAACGGTGACACTATGACATCAACTTAAATAGCATTCATATACTTTATATGAAATCGGACATGTATATGTATAGGAATTCCTAAGTATGGATTCTCATTATTAGATGGTAAAATTACGTGATAATGCGGTATCACTGCTAAATATTTAATTTGGCATAAACAAAGTCAAGATCAAGTTATAAGCACACAGGCTAACTAGCCAGTGATGGTTTTATTTTTTCTGTTAGTCGTAAGATTTTATTCATTCACCCCCTGGTCTATCTCCACTGAAACTTAACTCCTGGGTGATGAAAATGGCAGATCATTTGCAGTCAAGGATGAAATATTCTGCTTGTTTGAGGGAGCACTTGACAACTTGGGGAGTCTGAAGCAACAATATGGCCTAGCCAAGTCTGCGAACGAGGCGGTTTTGGTCATCGAGGCTTACAAGGCCCTCCGTGACCGGGCACCTTACCCTCCTAACCATGTTGTTGGCCACCTTGAGGGGAATTTCGCCTTCGTTGTCTTCGACAAGTCCACTTCTACCTTGTTTGTTGCCACTGTAAGTCATTCCACCAACCAATTGCCCTTTGAATTCTTTATTGCTTGAGAATTATTGTACCCAATACACTTTCACATCAAAAGCCACTACAAAATTGTGAGCCTATGATTCAATTTGATGAGACTACCATTCATTTTTGTTAAGCTAAAATACCAAAAGGTTAACTTATGGTAAAAAAAAAAGTTGAGATCAACCGTACAATGTTAGAATCGATCCGATAGGATTGATCCAGATGATATTATTTTGCTGTAAGCTTTGCCAAATTGAATTGTAATCTCACTTTTAAAGTTTTTCTATACAATAGTTGTTCTTTTGGTTTAGATGGATACTTTACCAACAATTGGGTTGGTGGTGTTGTGACAGGATCAATTTGGTAAGGTTCCTCTGTATTGGGGAATCACTGCTGATGGGTATGTTGCATTTGCTGATGATGCTGATTTGCTTAAAGGTGCTTGTGGCAAGTCACTTGCTTCTTTCCCTCAAGGTGAGTTGGCTAATCACAAATCATCTCTCTGTTTTCGTCTTATAAATTAATAACTACATGATGAACCATCTTTTTTGTAACTTGGTGGGTTGAAATGCCCACTAGTAATATAATAAATTGTGAGCACATGGACATTTGAAACAGAAAAAAATGAAATAAAATCACTATTATTTATCTTGTTTTATTATTACTGCTAGTTGACAATGGTGCAATCGTTTTTTTTTTTTTTGCAGGATGTTTCTACTCAACAGCAGTTGGAGAACTGAGAAGCTATGAAAATCCCAAGAACAAGGTCACTGCTGTTCCTGCCACTGAGGAGGAAATCTGGGGAGCTAAATTCATGGTAATTAACTTGCTGTTCTAATCATATATTTGTTTAATTATGGCCACATTTTCATATGGTCATAACAACCCGTATGAATTAAACATAGCGGTCATGAAACTTAGCCATAAGACTCAATTTATTTACTGAAAAATATTTCTTCATGAAGACTCCCATCACTACGGGGTTAGTGGATCGACTTTGAGTGGGATTGAAATAAGTAAGATTTGGTCAGTAGTCTCTGTTATGTGGTATGCTGTATATGTGGTACACACCAACATAACAGTCATGCCTCATCTAGTATCATTTATTTATTGTTCAATACGATCCCATGTTCCATCTTCTTTGGATGGGAAAGAAATCTAGGAAAATAAATATATTGATATAATTGTAAAAGCCATGTACCGTGGGAATTTTCACAACGATAAAATTGTTCTATCTTGACTTACAAAAAAAATAATTGCATTTAGCATTGAAGTTGTGTGTGTATATTTGACCCTCTTCAGACCCGGTAATAATGAAATTCTCGGGCATTGAATTGACGTACCCCAATAGTTTAGCTCGAGGGAAGACAATGATTAGAGACATACAACAAATGACAACAAAGGTCTAGCTAGGCACAAAGATGAAGATTAATCTCATAGGATGATTGCCTCAACATTTTGTAGATAATATTTTGTAGTCTATAAAAATCTACTTGGTTTTGAATATGTGCAACTTTGAGCCACATATTCTCTCTCCTACCACTGCTGATTTGTGAAGTTGGTGGATGATGTTTCAGGTGGAAGGGCCATCAGTTTTTGCAGCCACAAAGTGGTAGACGACTGTTTGTATCTTTGGATGAAAAAATTGAGAGATATTCATGTCAATCAGGGCTGGGCATGAAGGAGTGGGCTCCATGTAAAGAATTGTAAGTGAGAGTTGGTTTGTAGTTGTTAACAGAAGAATGAGAGTGGACTTTTTATGTCATGAACTTCAATCTGTGTACAGGAACTGATTTCAATAAAGTTTGAATGGTCTGAGATGAAAAAAAATGAAGTAATGATCTTGGTTGAGCATGATATATAATGTCATTACCTACCCCTTTTATTTATCCTCCAATTAATCACCCCCCATAAACTATTCACTGAGTTAGCTCATGTGGTCATACTCTTGAACTTTACTTAGAGGTCAAGAATTCGAGTCTTTATTCTGCAGCAATTGGCGGATCCAGGAGAATACCCACTTGACGTCTCAGGGGCATTGAGAAAGTGTCATGTAGTAGAACCGGTAAAAAAAAAGGCCGGAGATGATTGACCACAGTCATATTCGAAAAGAAATAGATAACTTCTCAAAAGTTATTGGTCCCTCACTGTCACCAAAAATCACCAAAAATAAAACCATCGAAATCAATGGATGTACAAGACATGCATTGGATCAAAAGACTCGTGATCCAAGTATTGTTAGGCGTAGTTTTAGATTAGATTTAGGAGGCAATTAATGCTATAGTCAAGACTGTTTATTCGGTCGTTCAATAATTAAAGTTTTTTCAATTGAATTAATGAACGAATTCTCTTTTTTTAATTCTTTGCACTATGTGATTGTTCGTTGTTTTTTCATCTAAGAAAGTACTAAAACAAAATATTTGAATTCAGACAATCGCTCAAAAACTATTTGTTGATTAGGATACTTCTGTCGATTCCAACAATTTTAGAACAACAATAATTTTAATTAATGTTTAAGTATATTTAAATGTACTCATAAGAGTAATGCTAGATAGACTTAAAAATTAGACTTAAAAATTAAACTTGATAATTTCAACTATTAAACAGATAGTAGGTCCCAATAAATATTGAAATCTACAATGAAATTAATTGTTGAAATTATCAAATCTATTTTTTAAGTCCACATTACTACTACCGATAATACAAATAAGAGGTCATCTACTCACTGATTCACGATATGAAAAAATCATTGGAATTCGAACTAAAATCCGACTAGTGGACAACTACTTTGGATTCTCAATGATTGTTGCTTAATACCTTCTTGACTCTCTCCTATAAAAATCATTTAAATGAGAAGATGTTCCGGTCTTGTCTCACCTAGCTTTACTCTTGAAAATAAATGACCATTAAATAATATAATTGAGTATAAATTTGATAGTGTGTTTTAATATGATGTAAATTTGTGATAACGAATAAATTAAAGAAACATTATTAAAATTGTTGAGATCTGAACTTCTAGACTCGAATGAATGACACTGAAAATTATCGGGGAATTGAGGAATTAACGCAGTAGAAATATAATAGTTCACCAGTTCGGAAGCTCGACTAATCCACTCTTTAATGGAGACTCTTGCTCTTTATCTTTCAATAATGATGATTACAAGAGTACACTGGCTAGTTTTTGCCTCTAGGGTCCCCCCTTTTCCTTGGAGGCGTTACATAGTATTTATAGGGTTGTTCCCTATTCAGTGGGATCTTGGCCTAGATTCTTGCCCTCATTTCGTGAGGTTCTCCGTGATTATAGGAGAAGATCTTGGTTTGTTGAGATTAGATGCCTTGATAATTGCTTCCTAACGCTTTTAGGAACCTCTCGTGATCTTCCAGTTGTTGTCTTGGTTATTATTGCCCTTGCTTATCTCGAAGGGACCTCCAGCTCTACTCTTCTGAGTTCTGTTCGTCTATTCTGACCTCTTGAGCTGGCGTTTGAGATTTATTTTAAGGTATCATCAGTTGCCCCCAGCCCTTGGCCCAAGCGAGCTTGGGCATGGGCTGAGCTACTTTTACCTTGGACCAGACATACACCTAGCTGACCTTAGCCCGCATGTGAGATGCACGTGGGGGGGCTCTTTGACGATTTACAACAATCATGACTTTCTCAATTCTCGTGCATATTTCAACTCACGTCACTCAAGCTTTAAATGCTCAATCGACTGCTCAAAAAATCGTTCAAAAACTTTTTGTTCATCTTCTACGCTATTTACCTTTGTCTCCGGCTATTTCTCTACGATTTCTGGGCTTTCCTCCATGCGATTCTCTTATTATCTGCTCAAAATTGTGTTTTTTGGGTTCGACTCGAAGTCCTGCTTTGCTCTTCTCCTAAAATTTTGTTCCTTGGTTGTTGTTTGTTGCTATTTTCCCAGTTTAGGTACGCTTCCTTCTACCCCTTTCTCTTTCTCTTATCTTACCTCACTCTGGATCCCTCGATTTCGAGGTGGCCATTATTTTTCTGGGTTTTTTTGTTCTTTTTCTTTTAGAATCGCGATCGTTGACTATCTCCTCTTCCACGCTTTGTAGATTAGAACTACACTGTGCGAATTCTTATTGTTGGGAGGTACAGTACTGACCCTAGGATTATCAGGGGGTGTTTAATTAGTCTTCCTCCTTTTTATAATTCTTTTAATCTGTCTTTCTCTTTACCAATCATGTCTGCATCCTCTGGAGTAACTCCTTCCTCTGTTTCCCTCTTAGGCGATAGGTCTACCAAAAGAGATTCTGATTTAGGGGATGTATGTGACAAGATTGACAACTTTCCTGGGGTGAATTTTGCTGAGGTAGAGGTGAAAACCGAGGAGGCCCCCTCTACCTCTTCTCTCATGCCTGATAGACCTGATAAGGGTAAGGGTAAAGTGAGTGGTGTGGGAGTCATTGGTTCAGGCTCAGGGGCTGCCTTTAAGAACGCTGAACTTGTAGGTCCCAGCGGACTTACCCCCGTTGACCTGAAGGTTCTGAGTGCTCGCTTTCGTTTTCCCCCAGGGGTTCAGCCCTGGAGTCCTGATAAGTACACCATATATGTTCACCATGTCCATAAGAAGGTCTGTTTCTTCTTGGCAGCTTTTGATAACGGTCTTCGCTTCCCCATTCATCCTTTTTATCAAAGGTGTCCTTCAACACTTCAATGTCTGTCTTACTCAGCTTTCCCCCAACTTTTGGGGTATTTTTGTAAGTTTACTAGTCTTCTTTAAAGGTCATAAGCTTGGGGTCCCTTCTGTTTCCTTACTTATGGAGCTGTTCAATGTTAAGCAGACCTCTTCGGACGATTTTTTGTATATTTCCAAGAGGGCTAAGGCAAAATAAGTCGCTCTGACCTCCCCAACTCCCATAAGAGCTAGAAGAAATAATTTTTCTTTGTAGACGGTACACAGTGGGAGTTCAATTTAGAGGATAAAATTGATACCCTCCCCACCCCTACAGAGTGGTCTGTCCCCGATAATTTGGGTATGTTATGCCCAGACTGTATTTAATCCAAGTCTGGCTGCTTTGCTAACTTATTTCTTGTCTTATTTGGTTTTCTAGGTATCCGACCAGAGCTCAGCGCTGAAGAAGAACGGGTATTGCGGAAGTTAGAAAAGTGTAAACCAGAGAAATATTTTGAGCTCATCCAACCTTGGGCTCTCGTAGAACACGGGTTCTGCCTTCCTGAGGTGAGGGTTGAAGCTCCCCTTCCACTTTTCGTTGCTTGCTGCCCCCATCCTGCTTTCTGCCAAAGATATATCAAGTAACACTTTTTCTATATACCCCCTCTCCTCTTTTCTCTATCTAAGGGTGAGGCTTAGTTGTTCTTAGGTCCTGCAGGTTCATCCTTAATGGAGCCCACTACTGCTGAACTCAGGGCTAAACTTTCCCAAATGAAGAATGTCAAGGGCAGCAATAAGAGCAGCGTCAAACGCAAGTCGGGACCCAGCTCTGTCGATGGCTCCCCTACTCCTGCCAAGGTGCCAAGGACAGACATGTCACTCACTCCTTCTGCTCCAGTTATCCCAGACTTCTCTTCCTAAGGCATTTTTTCTGCTACTCTAATCACTGCTGCGTCAGGACAGGCATCCCCCTCTACTTCTGAGGTCGAGAGAGCTATGGAGACGACCTCCCGAATCTTGGCCTCTCTTAATCCGCCTGCTGCGCCAATCAATCTTCCCCTTCCTGAGGGTTCAAAGGCTGTGAAGGAGGAGCTTCTCAAGGTAGGCAAAAGTGAGGGCTCCTTTCTTAATAACCCCGACCTTGCTACAAGGGCCCTCTCCTCTATTCTTCTCAATACTGACATAAAAAGGGTCTTTTCACTATCTCTTGAGGATTCAATAAGCTCTGTTCTTCACGGATTAACTGTAGTAAGTTCTTGCTCACATTTATGACTCTTCTTTTTTTTTGAACTTTCCTAATTTTGTTTGTTTTTCTCTTGCCCCAAGTCTACTATTCATGTCAAGAGCTTGATGAACAGGGTCCTGTCTGCGGAGAATTTTGTCAAAATGGTGAGGGCTTACGAAGTTAAGGTCGCTGAGTTGGCTTTTGAAAATGATGATCTGCGAGCTCAGCTACAAGAGCTACAGACAAAGTGGGAAAGCAGGCTTCCACCATTGAGGGCTTAAAGGTTGCGAAGGCCAAAGTTGAGGAGGGGGAGAAAAAGGCTAGGAATGCCTGGGCCAAGGCTAGCCATGAGGCTTCTACTGCTCAGAGCTCTTTTGCAAGTTTAACCAGAGATTTTGTTGCCCTATCTGATGCTAATGACGCCCTTTGCAGCGAGCTTGAAGAGCTTAATATTGCCATATCTGCAAAGGACAAAGACCTTGCCAAGCTGCGAGATGATGTTGCAACCAAATGGGTCTCTGGATGGCTTCCTTTCCAAGAAAAAGCTGAGGAGACCTACCCTGGCCTAAATTTTGACTTTGATATTTCCAGCTATAAAGATACAGAGGTGGCTAAAGCAGAAGGTGAAGGTGAGCCCCCCGCCTCTTTAGACGTCCCTGCTGTCGAGCTCCCCTTCCCTACTGACCTTGCCACTGAGGCTTCAGTTCTCCCATCTTCTGTAGAGGCCCCACATTCAGAAGCTCCCTTTGTTGGATCCTTCCCAAACTATGTTGATTTGCCCATCACTTCTGCTTAGCTACCAACTTCTGAACCTGCTTCTGCCCCAGTTCCGGCAACTGACCAACAGAGATCTAGCCGTATTCCCTCATCAGAAACTTAGGATGCAGAGTAAGTTTTTTTTTGGTAGCTTTGGGCTAATTATCTTAGAGTTGTAACATTTTGAAATAGAATTTGAAACGAAAACGTCAGAATTGTAACATTTTGTGTATAATTTACAACTTACAGCTCTTTTTTTTCCTTTGTTTTTCAA